TAGTGATCATAAAAATTACATTGCGGAAGTAAAGCGATGTCCTAGCACGATGTGTTGGTATGGATTTCAGATGAAAACTGCATGATGTTTTTCGAAATAGGTGATAAGCAATTTTTAAAAGGTAAAAGAAGTCTTGAAAGAAGAATTTTTACATGATTCACAATGATAAAAGTTCAAATGTATTTTACCAAATCACGCAATAAACACGTTGTTTTTTTCTTGAGTAGCGTAAACTGATCGTGAACTCCGCTTTGCCCATGTTATATCGGGGTGGAAGTAATTTTAAAAAATGTTAGCTTTCAATCTAAAGACTGCGTCGATCGTCAAAGTATTTACTTACGAACAAAGAGGTGCTAATTTTACAAAATTAACTTGTATTGTTTATAAGACATTACCACATCGTGCGACTACGTCTATTGTTTACAAATTATAATCCACGACTGGCAGGATGCGTGTTGGTCAGTACGTCGGACAATAGTCCTGTCGGAAGCGTGACAAGATCCCTGATAGCTACGCATTTCTTTCTATGTTTCGTAATACAGTTCACAGGATGAACAATGAAAAAAGCACTGTGGCGATCTAACTAATCACCGTGGCGGCTCGGGACCACAGTGGCGGGCAGGCAAAGCAGCGTGGCGGCCCCGCACACAAATTGAATGCTGGGGAGAACACTGCAGTTGATACTAAAGACTAAGTTTACTGACCCATTGAGCTCTTAGAGGCCTCATAAATAGCCTGAACTTTAGCACTGTCCATCACTATCTCTTCCAAGCCATCTAGTTTGTCTTCAGTAAGGTCTTTACGACATTTGATGTACTTGGTACATTTAGCATACAACACATTATCGCTGACAATTTTGAAGAGCTCTGGAAAATGATACGAATACCATTCTCTGCAAATAAAATGTAAACTTTGTCATTCTGTTCATTTTAACTTAGCAACAGGGTTCCTGTACATCTCAGCTTTTTAAAGTTTGTGAATTTAAGACAATTTTGCAAAACAAACTCACACAAATACTATAAAATGAATAGATTTTAGACTTTGCCCATGGACTTAAAAACATATCACTTGAGGCACAAACAAAAAATTATTTTACAAAATTACAAATTCCAGATTTTTTTCAATGTCAGTATGTCAATGTATGATTTTCTGTTGTTTCAATAAAGCCAGAGAATTAGCAAATTGTTGTGTTTCAGTGGCATATCACCTTAGAGGGCACACTGGTATTATTTTTATAATGCTCTCTCACCCCTAAAAGTATGATGGACATCGACTGAAAAACAATACTAAAGCTTTATAAAGAAACTAGTTTCCATTGTACACTGTCAAATCAACTACATACATGATCAAAATGACATTTACATACCTTATACGCATACTGAATGTATTAATATCTTTATCCAATTGATCTAATAAACTAATTGACTGTATTATCATATTATCAACTCTGTTGACATTGAACTTGACCTTGGCTCGGGAATAACTGTGACCTAAACCTAACTGAGCCTTGTTTTCAGCAACTGCTGTCAAACCTTTAACCATTCGATGGAAATGATATCGAATACCTGCAAAGAGAATTTAAACAAATAAAATTAAATTTTTTAAGTTCATCAAGAAATAAAATTTTGCAACTGCCAACACTTTTACTGAATAGTTTATATTTGAAATTTTTTTGTAGTTTTCTCTATTTTCAATGTTAATCCATTCGCTGAAATTCTGAGAACAGTGTAAAAATTAAAAAAATAAACCAGATGCTCATCTTATTTACATAACAGGCACAATGAGAATGACCAAAAACTGACAATATTTTTGACTTCAACTGCACGCTATAGGAAAGTCATGCTTTTGATGGTAAAAAAACTAACCCCTCAAAATTTCAGGTACAACTCCAAATGCTTGACATTTTACACCAAATACTTCAGTGATGGCAGCTCCAATTTTCGCATCACCAACACCAACTGTCAGTTTCTTCTTCTTTGCTGGGATATTTGTTTCCAAAAATAATTTCAAATCATCTGAAACAATACCTAAAACAAAAACATTAAAAGAAACCAGTTATTGCACATTAGCCAATGAAAGGTGAATGTGAACTACACTATTTACTGTACGCATACATTCCAGGAAGAAGAGTAAATTCAGTAAATATATTGTGTTTTTGTACAATATGGGAGTCAGAAATCTGAATTTATTTATTAACACATCGCCTGCTTTTTCCATTGATTTTTGTATGTCTATGCAAGTGTTAACGCAACCTCCTACTCTCAAAATCAGTACCAGTACCTTTGATACCTACCTTCAGATACGCAGTTGACATTGTCAAGGGCATGAGCAGCGGACTTGAAAGGAGCAAACGCTTCAAGTTTCACTATCGAAGCAAATTTTGCAAAATCTGTCACACTTTTCTCTACCTGTGGTTGCAACATGGATATCTCCTCCATTTCGATGACGGAGAACAAGCCATAACCAGAGGCATGTTCATATAAAACTAACAACCGCTGAAAATAAACAGACCATATTTAGATAGAAGAATCAAAGAATGAATACTGTACACTGTTAAATTTTCACCTCTAAAAATGTTCAATATTTCATTTAAAAGTTGTTCATAAGAAGAAAGTTGGACTGGTTAAATCATTTCCTATGAAATAAACATTATACAGGCTTGGCAGACCACTTATTCGCGATGTCACTATTCAACCCTTTTTTCGGTCAAGTCAATGTAAAAGAACATGGGGCTAATAGGATAAGGTTAAACAGCAAGTGAAATATTAAGAAACACCGATTTACACCAAAATATACACTTCTAAGTCTACACAAATAGTTGACCTTCACAATTAAACAGGTGGATGATGGCCTATTTCCCATACAGTATTTTATATTAAAGTGAACTTAAAACATTCTTTTCATATACTAGTAATATATATTTATTACTAACAACTAATAGTTCTTTTTCTAAAGATGTTACTGTATCAATAAAAGTTGTCACAATATGTCATGGATTCAAATAAATAGTAAATGGTAGTCAGTGTACTATGCATTATAGACAGTGGATACAACAAGTAAAACCATGTCACTTTCTAGGGCTGGGAAAGGGTCTAAATTCACTAATATCGGCATATTGAAACTGGTTCACGTTTCACATGCATTACCTCGTACCCTTATTTGGAGCACGCACCAGTCGTTCCAAGACCAGTCCTCGAATATGCGAGTTGCCGCGTGCGTTATGACTAATAACACACTAAATAAAAATGACAATATACAATACTTACCATGATTAGGTTTTGCTCCTATTCGAGCGACGACACGGCTGGCGTCAACAAACAAATTGAGATACTACTAGTTTTTTCAGCATTCAAACATAGAAAACAACGTGGTTTCACACAAAATGGCGTCGAGTGCGGTATGATGGGTAAACAGACTAAGCTCGTTTTATTTTTATAAACAACACAAACATAATCGACATTTCAGAACTACTAATACAACTTATCACAAAAATCTTAGTTTTTGATTTGAAAAATTTTAATCGGAGTCGCTACAAAGGGATATGACCTTTGACCAAATTTTTATCTGACCCGGAAGTGGCTCCCGTAACAACAACAAGCGTTAGTTCCCAGTGCAAATGAGTATTTAACTTGATTGATCATTCCTCCGAAATTCGAAGCCTTCATCTGTAAAATATAACGAAGGTTATCGTCAGACAGGTTAGTAGTGTCCAGATTACTATGGGGTTTGAAAGACCGTGGACACTAAAAAATAAACATGGTGATTTTTGAGCACGGGCTGGGCAACAACTTAATGCATGCTCAGACAAGTGACCTGTTACTCGGTGTAGACAGAGCGGCAATATTTTTGTTGATTTACAGATTTCACAATGTACTAGCATTATCGGCAACCTGACTGGTTGAGGTCAAAAAGCATTCAAGAATATAATTTTTTACCAAAAATGACAATAATATTTGCCAAAATAGAATTAGGAGTAGCCGTCTTGAAATAAAAAAAAAACTTACCCCCCCCCCCCTCACATAGCAAGTATCGAAGCACAGTCCCTCAACTGACTGTGATCGAAGCAACATTACAGTGGACTAGTACTTTGCAGGAAAAAATTGAAAATAGCATTTTTTACCATAAATGACAAAAATATTCTCTAAAAATAGATATCACAAGATATACCATAATACTAGTAGTTTAAAATTGGTAGAAATTTGTTCGATTGGGCAAATTGTTGAACAATTTATTTCTGTTAATACATGCACTATACTATTTTTTGTGGGGAATATGATTTTGCAGTAAGCTACACTGATATTACAGATGTTTTTGAACATTTGAAATATTTTCATAAAATTGTTAAATTATGAGCCTGAAAAAATAAGATTATTCATGTATTTTTATTTGCCACAGAATGGAATTACATGCAATCTTAGAACCTGGTGATACCCCTACAGCTGGTATGTGGTATGTACTGTCTCCAAAAGGAGAACCCCCGTCTATGAGAGTGGGACATACCATAACATTTATTCCAGGCAAAGATGATAAACAAGGTAAAATGCTGCTTGTCGGAGGTGCCAATCCAAGTGGTCCTTTTAATGACTTACATATTCTTAACTTAGGTAAGATAGAATGTATTCTGCTTCACTGTTCTTAGCATCATGTCTAAAACACAGAGACAAATTTGCATATTAATGCAGCTGATTTACATGAAATTACATCACAATAGAATATCAATAACTTAAATTGTTTTATTAAAAGTTCAAGTATGGTTGGTACTGCCTTGTTAGAGAGAAGGTCAAGCTGAATGGATGTAAGCAAATAACACTGTGAGAGCAATCATTGGTTTTGGAGTTTTAGAAATATGTGAAATATATTTTAATAGTCTAAATTTGCGCAAATTGAGGGAAATATTAAATTTCAAAGCCTTTCAGCGTGTCTGGCAACCATTTCACTTTCTAATTTGTTTGTGTGTTTTACTGTCTATAGGAAAAATAGATCTCAATTGTGTTCGTGATTTTGTCAAAGGCCACTTGAGAACACCGTCTAGTTGCTTGTTTTAAATGAACCTCTTTTTTTCCAGAATTTTATGAATGGGATGATCCTGATTGGAAAGGTCTTCTACCTCGTTATGAGCACTCTGCATTCAGACCCACAAGTCAACCTGATAAACTTTACATATTTGGTGGTGCAGAACAAGGTTCCAATCTTAATGACATACAACTTCTAGATATAGGTGAGTGACATCATCGATTTTCCAGAATTCTTTTCAGCTGTATGCATTTGGAAATAGTCCAATGAAATACGAGATCCAATTAAAATATAATTGCTATAACCATTGAACACTGTTCAGTGCATAAAATGAATCAACCGCAGATAATGTGTGTAGACGATAAAAACATGTTTGTCTCCTTGTATCTTACTTTGTTGCTGTTTTTCGGTGATTCATTACGAATCCCAGGGTAGTTTTCTACCCACACATAGACATTGACAAATCTGTGAACTGCTCACTGCATATTGAAGTATGTTGAACCAAATGTATATACATGTATACTAAATAAAATGTATATGCATGCGTATCATCACTCATACGTAAAGGTCAAATTGATGTTATGTAAATTATAAATGACATATTGATACATACCATACAATAATATGTCTTGGAAAATATTTCTAAGGTCTATGCTGCAATAGCTCATGCCTTTTCCCATCTACTAGTATTTCATGCGGTCTTGAAAAATATGGTTACTACCGGTATTACGGTTTTACCCTTTTTGCTATGCCCCAGTGTCGGTGGGTTACAACTCAGAAAATCTCAAAATATTTACTAAATATGCTTTACCAAAATTATGTTCTTTTTTATTGGATGAGTAATTCTCGGCCACTTTGAAATACAAATGTACCATATTATTCTTGTATTAAGCCCATAAAACTACTCCCAGTGGAGAAGTTATTGTGCCAAATAAAGTGAGGTTAACATGATGATTGTTGTTCTTTGCATTTCAGGTAAAGGAAAGTGGAGCAGCGTGAGTGCATCTGGTAAAATACCAAGTGCTAGAACATGTAACAGTATGGCGAGTATTGATGATAAACTTTATATTTTTGGTGGTGGACAAGCTGGTGCGCACCCTGTAGGAGACAGACAAGTTCATGTTTTCAATGCTGGTAAATATATCATAGGAATATTCTTGATACCAATCTGATTAAAATTAGATCTTTTTTAAATTTCTTTTTCACAATTTTTATATTAATTATTCCTTTTTTCAGTGTGTGATTATTTTTATTTTTTTTCAATTATTTTCCTAATTTTAATAAGTTGTCTGATTATGGAAGCCCAATAATCTGAACAACCTCCATAGGAGATCTCATTCAATTTTTGCAAATTTCAATAACCAATCAGAGAAAATGGCATATTTACTGTATATGAGACCTTTGCTGATTAGTTGACTAATCTGGTTATTTGAAATTTCGCAAATGAAATCTTCTTATATTGGTTGTTCTGGGCATTCATAGTCAGAGAATCGAAAAAATACTACTAAAATAAAAAAATGAATAATTAAAACAATTAAAAAGATTGAAAGAAAAGCCCACGATATTAATCAGATTATCTTAATAACAGAGAGACAGTTATTGGTAAAATGAAAACCATTTTATGTGTGAAATCTCATTCCGAAAAATATTCATATTACCGGTATTTAAAATGTTGATAATGGGATTTGATTCACAATAATGTGACATTTGTTTCATTTTTCGTCATCTTAGTGACTACATCATGGTCACAGCCCAATGTCAAAGGGAATCCACCCAAACCAAGACATGGTCATATAATGGTTGCTATTGGTAACAAGATATATGTACACGGAGGAATGGCTGGACAGACTTTTTATGATGACTTACATGAATTAGATACAGGTAAAAACGTACACAATATCAAGGGTGGATAATAAATAAGGGCACACTATGCATGGTGATACTCATGTGATGTGAACTCATGTATTTATTGTGTATTTCCGCAAATGCCTATGTACATGTCAATCAAACTTCTATCCAAGTTCATTACAGAATGCCACGGTTGCGTATTGGTAAGCTTGTTAAGGTAAAATACACTAGAGACAATCCAAGTCGTACCATTTCTTTCACAAACTAGCCCACTTAAATTAAAAATGATTTGTTTTTGGTCAGCATTCAAAAAGGGATGGTTACAACTTTTTTGAGGGGATTTCTCACTAAATACTGCGAAAATGAAAAGAAAAAGGCTCTCGTCACAGTTCAGAACCAGGAACGTTTAACCTAAGTATATCTGTTTATTTACATATACTTTAGATATTACCAAACAATCAGACAGTTTATAAATTCTTTTAGTTATAACTGTTTTTTTTTATTTTTAGAAATATAAAAAATAATTTGGATTAATGATTTTTTTTTAAATTGTTTGGCATAACACATTCATAGTAATGAACTACCAAGTTGAGCTTTTGGACTCGTATTGCATTTCAGCTGTTGTGTTTTTGTCTTCTAGTTGCCTTGAATTGGAAGCAAGTGAAATGTAAAGGAGCAGTGCCATGCAGTCGTACAGCGCACACTGGTGTTAGTCTGAATAATAAATTGTATATATTTGGAGGGATGGGACGTGATAGCGCACTAGATGATTTATACGTCTTAGATACAGGTAAGTTTAATTTTATTTATCAACATTTACATGGATTGCATAGTTTTAATAAGAAAGATCAGTGGAGTTACACAAAACCATCTCACTGTGTTTAAGTCAACTTTTGTCAACATAAACAAATTTAAACCCACGTGTTTTTTCTAAAATTTTTATTAAGATTGTAGCCATTAAGGAATTAGAAAAATACATAAAAAACAGACATTTTGCACCGAAAAAATTATGGCACTCAAAGTGTTAAGAGGAAAAGCTGCAGAAGGATAACATTTTGTCATTTTTGCCAACCAGAATTTGAATGTCTGATGACAAATATATCAACACTTGCTCGCAATCTGTTGCTGTGACATCATTGCTTGTAAGTTGTTTTCTTAACGATGGCTCAGTCATTTAAGAACAGCAGCGAACAACCTCGTTATTTTATCTTCAGGTGCGGATAATCAGTTCTTACCAACCGGTCAAATGTAAACAAGTACGGTATGATGGTCTGTACTGACATCAATTTCTCTTCCACAACCCCAGTTCATTTAACCAATCTGTCAGAATACATCATGGCATCATAATAAAAGTAAAAGGGAATAATCAAATCTGATTAAAATTTGACATTGTATTTAGTTGGTTTTACAGTATATGGCTGTATTTCAGCGTACATAGCCTAAAACTCCATCTGACCAAATCATGTTCAAGCAGCATTCTTCTTCAGACTGGTCACTGGTAGCATAGTGGTTGTCGCATCAGACTCATGATAGGTAGACCCAAGTTCAAATCCTATTTTACGCTGAACATCAAAAAGTTCAACCCCTACCCTGGGTGATTGTGCCACAGACTCGATGGGAAGATCTATTCCACTGGTCAGATTCATTCACTCAAGAATGCGAGTTTGGGGGAACTTTGGTTATAGTCCACAGGTGTTTGTGTTCGACTGAGCCTGGTTGATGCCAGGATAACGCATTAAATTGCCATTTGATAGGAAGATGGCCGCACAGCCCTGTCATGTAGTCCCAAACATGAATATGACTTCTGTGGCAAAAATGTGTCAGCACTAGCACTTGCAATTTGCTCATTCAAAAAAGTCAGGAGTCTGTCGCCTGGCACAAAAATAAATATGAAAATAAAAAAAAGCATTCTTCTGATTGGATTTGTCAACCAATTAATGCATACTGTACTCGATTACTAGAAATTGGAATTTAATTATTAGGTGTAGTGTAGTTGTTGCAATGTGGCAGATTGGGAATACCAATCTCAATATTAAGTGGCTAATTAAAAGCCTGAAAATTCACTCTCATATTTGTTATATTGTCTTCACATGTTGTTTTTTGGCCTCAAATCTCAGGTAATTTCAAATGGTCTAAAATAGAAATCAGTGGACCTCCACCACCACCTCGATTGGACCATGCAATGTGTGTTATTGAAATGAAAGCAACGGTTGTGAAAGCCAGTGAAGACATGGACCGTGAACCACAGTCAGCAAACAAAGATGTGAAAGAAGTCAAAGATGAAGAGAGTAATATTGATGATGACAATGAAAATACAAAGGCTTTAGAAAATGCTGCAGAAGTTGTTCCAGACGATGATAAAGAGGATGGTGCCAATGATGTGGATACAGTAGATTCTGAAGGAGGGGTTGTTAAGGCAGAGGTTGTGCTAGACAGTGCTGGTGAGGTTGCCAATGAAGGGGGTGCGCTAGAATGTGTGGGAGGGGGAGCCAAGGAGGACAGTGCGCTAGAAAGTGTTGAAAGGGTTGTCAAGAAGGAGGGTGCTTGTGCTGCGGCACCAGACACTAGGACATATGAAATGCTACTAATCCATGGAGGCATGGACACCCAGGGGGAAATATTTGATGATACCTTGGTCGTACTTGTCCCATAATGCACTTCACTTTGTCAATTCATAAACCAAAACCAAACAGTGTATTTTCTCTATTAATAATTATTGCTTTTATTGTATGCTGGATCATTAAACTGTGACGTATTATGAACATAGATACACCATGTTATCTATCTATATGTATGTATGTGCTACTAATAGAGTAAATACGGTAGCATGAAAATAATTCTCAGTTTTCAAAAGAAAAAAATGTACTTATTGTTTTCTGGATAACAAATTTGCAGAGAACTGCTTTGATAGGAGAAAAAGATTGCTGACTCAAATTTCTCCCAGACCATGTGGTCAAATTTCACTTCTTTAGTAGGTATACAAAAGATCTGTGTCTATGAGGTGCTGGAAAAATTCATCACTCTAGATGGAATAGCGCCCTCTATGCTGTATGTGGTATTGTCTATGTTGATGCTGATCTGAATCAGGTCCATGTAATAGTTTTGACTGGCATCGCTGGTGACCAATTGTTTTGCTCGTTGAGACGGATTAATACGTATTAAGTATCACAGTCATTGCACAGTAATGCATTCCAAATTTTGTTTACTATTTTTGTATGTCGCCTGGGACCTCCTTATTAAAGATGCTGTCACGGTGACTGTGGCTCTTTTTTAACAGTATTTACTTTTTTTTCATATCATGTGAATTGCAATACTTTTTGTGTAAAACCGAAATTAACAACTTTCTGAAAGCATAATTTGTGTTTCATATGAATGTAAGATAAGTAAATGTAATGCTAAAATTCCTTTTGGACTGTACAAATCTACCACAAGGAAACACAGATTTTGTGGCAATGAGATTGTTATATTTGTGTCCATCATTATTGCAATAAATGTCGTTTTTTTAGCAAAATATTCTACGTAAGTACTGTATTTATTTGAAAGATCACCCACTGCCTAAGATTACCCATGAGTGATGTTTCAGCACATGGGCGATATCTTGGTGCCGCATGAAAAATCGATACCAGAAAAAATAACGTGGTAGTGAAAATAATTGTTTTTTCAAGAGCTTAAATTAATTTCTAACAAATTGGCATTGACAGATTTAACAAGAATTTCCCACACACAATGACAGTGTTGGTTCAATGATGATTCATAAGTATGCAATTCTGTTACAACATAATGCTCTGATATCCAAGTTACACTAAAAAAAAAATAGGTATTCTTGTTTTCCCCCCACAAAATATATAATGCAAGTTCATTGTTAGAATAATTTAGACTCCATCAGAAATTCAAAATTACTGAAAGCTTTGTCAATCTGGTGATCTTGAACTGATACAGGGTCCAGCAGCTATCAAATCATACATTGGGTCTTTCGTGGCATCCATATACATGTATGGGAAATATCATGAATGCTAACAAGATTTAGAAGACAATACAACATAAAAAAAATTAAATAACAAGGTTTTAATTTTGCTATTTTTGTTGATGATTAAAATTCACTAAATTAAATCCACATGAATATGTAAAATAACAATAGAACTCATTGTTTTCCTGGCAACCTTGTGAACTCAAAACCTGATGAATATGCTCACAATACCAAAATAGTGAAATTAATTGCCAGGAAAAATAAATTGGCCCAAGATAACAACATCACGATCATGAATGGTGATAGGTGCTGGGTTTCAATAAAAGAATTTAATTTGCCCTTCAAATGTCACAGTATAACTGCTCAAAGGTGATGTTAACACCAGGGTGCATGAACACATATTGCAAACCGCTTGGTTACTCCCAATATTACTAGTAAGATGTTTTGAAATGCACAATTTCTGTTGTAGCATTTGTGTTTTATTTTATTTTATGATAAACAGTGCTTTTGTTGTGTGTCTTTGGATCATATGTTCAATTAGAATCAATTTCAGTTTTTTTGTTTGTTTTTTAATGCAGCTTTGACCGCTTTGACGAAAAGAGCCATATAATTAATTTTTATTTTCATAATACTGTAATTTAAATGGATAAAAAACATAATTTCGTAGACATGGGCAAGGTGTAAAATGTAATCAGCAGATCTTATTTTTTGTAAGTGTTAAAGCATTTTCCACATTAAATGTTGTAACTCGTATGCAATTTCCATTTTTTATTCTAAAATACAAGTAATCAAATATATTATAAAAATGTAATTAGGAATTTGCTTTATTTGTAAAGTGTAAAAATCTATTTTTACTGTAAATGGAACTTTCATTTTTTTCCCTGTAAAAACGTCAAATGCCCTTTTTATTTCCTGTAACCTGTACCAGCTACCCCCCCTGCCCCCCTCCCCATTAGTGATATGAGCCCTACAGCGTCTCTTCCAAGGGCACCTGGCGAGCTGCATCCCACTATGTTTCAAACAAATACCGTTGAGGGCAGCATACACAACAAGACGAGAGTAGTCTTTACGTCAATATGCCACATTGCTAACATATGCTTGTTTGTAACACTCTCGTGAGTGTGACAAAAATTTTCATCAGGAAGATCTGATTAGAGATTCGTGTACTGAAATATTCAATCTAATCTCAACTTTGAATATCCGAAATAAATGACAATACACATAAAACCCGGTATGAGATGGTTGACTTGGTATATTACACCACAGTCACTCTATTAGGACACAAACCTCACACGTTTATTACGCAATTGCCTCTTACAATCACATGATTTTTCATTCTGTATTTACAATGTATGAACAGAACGCGGAATTCAGTTCGATGATAATGAATATTTACACAACGATATACTATATTATAAGCGCACGTCCAAAAAAAAGCACATACCGGTTGATTTGAGGCTATGACGTTTAGTTTAGTTATTTACATAATGATATTGATACATTGTATGGAACATCTCGTGAGTATTTAGACTCAGTTCCAGGCCTAGCAGTTGAGCAATAAACACCTTGGCTACAAGTGTTCCTCTCCAGTGTGTTATTCTCCTCCGGATTTGGTGACCAATACTCACTTGGTTCACTTTACATTGAGAAGTCTGTTCTCAGTTTACACCGGTATATATCTATCTGAATGTCTTGTGTTTTGTTTTGTTTTGTTTTTTTTGTTTGCTATCTTTTTGTATTACTTTATTGTATTTTCAACTAAGATCCCACTCCGGGATACGGTTTTAATAAAGATTATTATTATTATTATTATTATTATTATTATTATTATTATTATTATTATTATTATTATTATTATTATTATTATTATTATTATTATTATTATTATTATTATTATTATTATCTAAAAACGCGTTGGATGTATACCACTAAATCATTAAAAAATAACTCATTTTGACCATAGAGTCTAAAGTCCTTGAACGTGTCGTTGCATCCAGAGTGAAACAACATATAGAGAATTATTCGTTGTATGAAGAGTTTCAATCAGCGTATCGGACCGCACATAGCACTGAAACGGCTCCTTTGCGGGTCGCTAACGATGTACTATGCAGTATTGATAATTCTAAGAATTCAGTGGCTCTCGTACTTTTGGATCTTTCAGCCGCTTTTGATACTGTGAATCACAAGATTCTCATCGATAGGTTGAGATCAAATTTTGGTTTAAATGGTCTCATCATCAAATGGTTTGAGTCGTATTTGAGTAACCGCATTCAAAAAGTGAAAATT